TGATTTGCGAGGTCGGGCCAAATCTTCCTTCATCAATTGCCCCCCACTCCTCGTGCTAAGGGTCTTGCCCTGGCGCGGGGAGTTTGCAAGGTGTCAGGTAGATTTGCCTTGCATTTTGAATCTTGGTTTTGCCGGCGCGAGGTGTGCTGTCAGGGTTCCTTGGGCTTCTTCGAGCGTCCATTAGGCGGGAAGCGCGCCAGCCTGCCTAAACGCTGATAGATGTGGCGACGCGCGCTTTATTTCGAAATTTCAAAAAGGCGCACCACTTGGGGGGCGCGATAGTGGGCGTCTTTTCAAATTTGAAAAAGACGTGCCACTACTGTTTTTACTGAGGAGACATGTGCTGGCGTTCCGTCAGTTTCGAAAAGATGTGTGCCGGCACTCTGTCAGTTTCAGAAAGACGTGCGCCAATCACGTCTCGGTCTCGGGGGACGTGCGGTCAGTGCGGCTGCAGGCCGTCGGATTGGCTTTGATCTAAGTCGTTGTCTTTCGGTCACTATGAATATAAATAGCGGAGGGGACCCCAGTTGTTGTCACTTCTGTATATTCTCATGGCGTTGTGACTCGTGCTGGCTAGCCGGGATAGGGCGTCGGCCTCAGTGTTCTCTGACCTCGGGATTTTCCTGATGAAGTGTGACTGGAAGTTGAGCAGAGCCTCCTTTACTTTTACTAAGTATGCAATCATAGTGAGCTCGCGTGCTTCGTACTCGCCTGTAACTTGGTTGACCACGAGCTGGGAATCACTACAGATAACTACGTGCTTTGCTCCGACCTTCTGTGCTAGGTTCAGCCCGGCTATCAGTGCCTCATACTCCGCCTCGTTGTTGGATGCCGCAAACTCAAAGCGTAGTGTGTATTCCAACTTTGTTCCGCTCGGGCCGCATAGCACTATTCCAGCACCGCTGCCCTACTGGTTCGAGGAGCCATCTACGTGAAGGATCCAGGGCTCCTCATCCCAGTTCGCGTTTGGTCTAACCAGGAGAGATGCTACACTGGCTGCTACTTCACGGGGTTCAGACTTTATTGGCTTGGGAGCTCCGAGCTCGCCCGAACTGGGGATCTCAGGCTCAATCAGCTCAGGGGCTTCGAGACTAGACGTGCACTCGGCGATAAAATCTACCAAGGCTTGGGCCTTAATAGCTGTTCTTGGCTTGTACTGGAGGTCGTACTCGCTGAGTTCGATGGCCCATTTCGTCAGTCGACCGGAAACCTYGGGYTTGAGTAAAACTTGYCTCAGAGGTTTGTCAGTCAGGACGATGACGGTGTGAGCCTGGAAGTACGGGCGGAGTTTCCGAGCTGCTATCACCAGTGCGTATGCTAGCATTTCTATCTGC